TCTTTTCTCTAAAGAAAAATCTTGTTTTTTCACATAAGAAACTCACTAAATCAAATGAATGTTAATTAAAGAAAAGATAGTGTAAAAAAAAACTGGGGGAAAGGTAACCTCTAATTACATAGGAAATCCAAGTAAGAATTAATCATCGTAAGAGAAGAACCATTTTCCCAGCAGCCCCACTGCCATGAATGATATTCTCATGAGCCTCGGCCACCTTCTCAACGGATACTGAGGACCTATTACAGGTTTCAACCAACCGACTTCCATTCCAGCTTGAAGGGCTGCTGCAAATTGCTGAAAAATCCTCCTTGGTTGAGGAAAAGAAAGTAACTCCAAGTATACTGCATTCCTTTACCATGATGTCCCGTGGGTTTATTTCAATAGTTCCTCTGCTGCCAACAACTATTACTTGTCCTCCATGTGACAGAAGATTCAAATCCTTGTTAAGATTTACATTAGCTAACATTTCAATAATCACATCAATTCCTTTCTCACCAACAACAGATTTCTTAATTTTATCAACATACTTAACTTCTCTGTGGTTAAACACTTCATGGGCTCCATTTTGCAAAACAATCTTTTGTTCCTCCTCAGTACTAGCTGTGCCCAAAACCTTTAAGCCATAAGCTCTCGCAATTTGTCATGTTGCTATTCCAACTCCTCCACTAGCCCCATGAACCAGAACAGTTTCTCCAGCTTTCGCACGGGCACTGTGGATCAGAGCTCGATAAGCACTAAAATATGGGATACCAATGGCAGCTCCTTGTTTAAAGTCCAGTTTTTCAGGCAGTTTGTAAACAGTGTGATCTGCTGCAAGAGCATATTCTGCATAGCCCCCAGAGATCGTGCCGGTGGTGAAAACTCTGTCACCTTTCTTGAAAGCAGATACATTATCTCCAACAGCTTCTATTAGCCCAGCCACGTCTGAGCCAGGAGTATAGGGTAAGACTGGTTTTCTACTGTAAGTACCAGAGCGAATGTATGTCTCCATGGGGTTGACACCACATGCATGGACCTTGATTAGAACCTCAAAGTCTTTGGGAATCAGTACTGCAACATCTGACTGGAGTTTCAGCACTTCTGGTCCACCAAATTCAAAAACTCTAACAGCTCTCATCAACTTCTGTGCAGTCATCGTGGTGATCTAGATACGGGCTCTGAAGCCGCAAGCAAAATTTGCAAGAACTCCTTAAGATTCCACCAGTGTCTGAGGTTTCTTAATGTTATTAGTATATTCAAAAAATTTGGCTTTGTTCATTCTCTTTATTAAATTTTTATATTGTTAATTTCTGTTCTTTTGTTATTTAACTACTTTTATTTAGATCTATTATGCTGAACTTTTTCTAACTCCTTAGATAATTAAGCTTAGCCTCTCTTCTTTTATATTTATATATTTACCTCTATGTAGTGAAGCTGCATATCCTGTTTTGATATGCACTATTTCCTTTAATCAGATGTTTTCTGACTTTCACTATTATTTCATTTGTAATCAGTTGATTATTTAGAAGTATATTTTTTAATTCATAAATATGTTTTATATTTTGTTATTAATTTTGGGCTTAATGTTCTTATGATAGAATATACTGTTATTTTTTGAATTTTCATAAGACTTGCTCTCTAATGCTGTATATGGCCAATTTTCATAAAGGTTGTGTGTATATATTTGAAAGAATGCATTCCACAGTTGTGCTTAATATTTCATATGCCTTCATTAAGTCAATTAAGTTACTTTTCTCAAACTTTCAAGTTTCCTTTTCTTATTAATTATTAAGAGAGGTACGATGAAATATGTTATGATTGTTGAGTATTCTATTTCTCCCTGCGTTTCTATTAAATTTT